GCACAACCAGCCCTTCAGCTCACCGAGGATGTGTCTTTGTTTTTATTTTAAATTGATTTTTTTCTTTATTTTACTTGTGCCTTCATGCTAAAGCCACAGGGATTTGTACTGCTACTGTACAAGCCAGCTTTTTATTACCCAATACACAGTTTTAGCCCAGTTGCCCCAAATGCAGAGTTACCCCTGAAGGCATCAGCACTGTTCTGTCAGGGCTCATTTCTGAGCCTGAGCACTGCACACAGCAGATTTGGGCAAAGTGATCCAAACCAGACTGTATCTAAGACTAGGTTACCATGACCAGCAAGAACACAGGCAGTGGTACATCTCCTTTGTCAATACACAAAAGCATTCAGTCCTGGATTCTTCTGACCACTAATCAAAGTGTATTCAATCAAACAACCCTACCAGAATTAACAGGGAAAAGAATAAAAAAAGACTTGGTTGAGCAAAAGTACTCTTAGACACATTTGATGTAATAGTCATATGATTAACAAACTGTCATATCAAAGTTTTCTGCGAAGTAGGAACACTCTGACAGTTCATATTTTAAAAACTGACATTTTGATTCATTACTGTAAATAGCACTCTGTATTAAATATTGTGACAAGGCATACAGTGTATTTTTGAGCTCTGTAACATTTAGGAAGTACTGGATTTTTTTAACTTTTTTTTTTTTTTTTAAGCACGTATAATATCAAAAGCAGTTAAAGCAGAACTCCACGAAAGCTTCTAGAGGAGAGAATCATGATTTCTGAAATAACCTATTTCTCTGCCATCATTTCAAGCACTGCTGGGAACTTAGGCCCACAAGGATCTTAATGTACTGTTTGCATAATAAAATAGGGAATTGTCTCACAGAACAAAAGAGCTATATGGAAAGTGGCTACATTAAATAATGTAAAATTACTCACTAGCAAATCATCCCGAAGTTGGCATAAGAGGAAGAACACTAAAAGGTGCTGAATTACCACTCAGAATATTTGAGAGCAGGTTCATAACTGAGATAAACAACACCATGTCGAAATGACTGCCCAAATGTGTATCTTGATTATCCCCCTAGTATTCAGGCACATGTTTTCCTCCCTCCTCTGTCTCACCACTCCCTTTTATCTTATAAAGGATAAAAATGGGAAATGAGAGTTGGGGCACAGGGACAGCAGGATCGCCTCTTCCAGCAGTGGCACAAACTCAGACTGGTTGAACCTGCTTGTGTAACCACAACTTGAGTTCAGTTATCGCCCATCTTCCCCAAAAATCAGAGACCTTCACACCCTTCTCAGTAGCTCAGTTTTGTCCACTTAGACTGTGAGCTCTTACAGACAAGAGGTGACTACCCCTATGCACATTTGTGCAAGCAGACCTGAGCCAGTCCCCTGGGACCTGCTGAAACCCACACGTGGGCAGAGAACTGCTACCAACCCCTGCAGCCCTGCACAGCCATGCCCATCACAGACAGAGGAAGAGCAGATAGCACTCCCCTCACTGCCAGGGTGAGCAGGAAGGACTGCCCAGTTGAAGCTGTCAAGGACTTCTCCTTGTACAGGGGTCCACAGCAAGGCAGCTGACACTGTAGGGATGCTGTGAGCCACTAGAACCAACCTATCAATCAAGAGCACTTACTTATCCCCTTATTGCTCATGGACCCCTTTCCATGGGTCACCAGTATCAGGACAAACAGGACTGGGACCAGAAGCAATAACACAAATGTTCTGCATTTTCTCAAAAGTAAATCCCTTGATAGAGAAATTAAAAATAACAGCCCAAGCCAACACATAAAGACCTTGATAAAGCAGCAGAGAAAAAACAGAGGCTGTTCAACCTGTTTTCAAGATGCTCAGGTTTTAAGAGGACTATAGTCCAGGGCTTCAGAAAATAAAATGGTTACCATTATCATTGCTTGCAGCCAGCTGCAAGTGGAGCTCTGGGCTCAGAGAGAATGGATATGCTGCCATAAACATGAGCCTAGCCCGGGACATGGTGAGGGAGTCACGCACACTGACGATGGATCACAGCACTGTTCTAACAGAAGTTTGATCCAGCACAGCCTGCCTTTCCCCAGGAGCAACTACACACCCCTCACATGCTGGAAATCTTGCGGATGTGTTTGCACGCCAGCAAGTGTGGTAGTAGTAGTGGTCTAGCCAGACATCCAAAACATATTGGCACCACTATAATTTGTCCATTCACCAATATGTTTTCCTAAAAACACCCATATGCTTTTCCTGCAGTTCCCATATGCTTTTGCAAAGAGAAACAAAAACATTTTGTTAGTTGTGAGCGATTGATCGCCACATATTTCACAGAAGTCAAGTAGAAAAACAACAACAACAAAAAAGCAGTCAGCTGCTTCCCCCTCCCTTTCCTCTCTGTTCACGGAGGGAACTGTGAAGAGCGGGAAAAAATTCAGCCCACAGCAAAATACACACACCGCTCATTTTTTTGCACTGCAAGATATTCTAGGAATTACAGGAGGAATCTTCATTAAAAACAAGCTATCAAAGATCTGGCAGCCAGTGGCATACCAGACAGTAATTCAGCATTGGGTGTTCAGCTCAGTGCTCGGCACTCACTCGGGTCTGCGCCGCGGGCAGCGCAGCCCACAGGAATCCAGGCTCCTGGAGAAGCACATTAAACAAGCCTGGCGGGGGGGGGGACAGCATGGTAAAGTGGTTACAGCCCTTCCAATTCACAGGACATCTCATTTGATGCCAAATGTATCTCTACCCACAGGTATAAAGACCCCTCTCGCACGTAGGGCTTCCCAGGGAGGTGCTGCCCTGCTAACGTGAAACCTTAAAGCAGTCAGAGGGCAAGGCAGCAGGCAGGCTGCTCAGTTCAACTGGGAGCAGGCACAAGGGTGTACAAGTGTGTCTGTGTCAAGGCTGGAGCATGTGGGAACCGAAGCTGTTTAGTTAGAGATTCATTAAGAAACAGTAGACCTAGGGCCAACGTTCAAAGAGGGATGGGAAACATTTCTCTGGAGAAAGATTAGTGTGTGTTCTTCTTTACACAAATAAAATTAAAGAGAGAATCATAATATAGACAAATCAATTAACTTCTGAAAAGCCAAGGGCACTGCATGCAAGAGCAGATGAGAGGGGAAAAAGCTTTGTTACAGGGCCACTGAAGCAGTGCTTAGCCTTTCTCCCCTGGAAAAGAAATTCAGCTATTGCTGAAGTTTTAATGGATATTTGCTGAAGTTCTGATGTTCAGCCCTGGCTTCATCACACTCACTGTTACAGGAACACAGTTACTTCCTTCCTAAAATGTCCATACCTATATTTCATTAAAACTCTATGCACTAAGAGCCTGGGATCATCTTTGTGAAGACTATGGAAAATACCTAAGGGCAGAGGTCAAAGGACTCCAGGGGTGCTTGACTCAGCAGTTTCAGCCTGAAGGTAGGAGATGGAGGTTGACAATCTATATAGGACACCCAGAACTGCATGCACCTTTCTATCAGAATAAGCTTTTTGTGACACAGTCCCATGTTCTACAGTTCTCTGACAAATTTAACCAGGAATGCTCTTTGCAAAGTTAGTGTTTTTTTAAAATGATCTAATCTCACACCAAGCCTAATGAGAAGCCAGATGCAACAGGTGAAGAGCCCAATTTTTCACAGAAAGAAAGCTGAAAACCCAGTCAGGAGAAGAGAAATTAATCTCTTTTACAGGACACAGAGTAAAAAACCAATTTGTTGGAGACAGCTTGCTTGGCAAGATACATTTTATGATATGTTTTTGTCTTGAGAGGACTTGTAAGTACCTGAAAATCTGACTTCAGCACTCACAAATGTATTGATATTGTTGCTCAAGCTCTGAACAGAAAGCAAAACTAATAATGCCTCATTCATTTAACAGTATAAAACGATGGGCTTCTTCCTAGATTTCATATTTACAGCAACCCACTGGGACAGTTTATTAGACTTAGCCAGGAAAGCTGCCACAGAAAGAGTGAGACTAACAGAAGAGCTGCCATTAATCTTCCATAACCCAGCAACTGGGAAGATCAGGCCTTGAACCAAATTCTACTCTCTTGCTATTAATCTCCTGTCCTCTACTTATTAATCCTTGGTCTGTCTTTGTCTTTCAACATTTATTAATGACTCTTGTTTGCAGTAAATAGGATGCTGAAATCTCATCTCCAGCTAGCCATAATTTACACAACAACAACAACAAAATAAAAAAAAAATTAAACCCAAGAAGAGGGTAAAGGAAAAAGGGAGGGATGTGCATTGCATAGTAAAAGGGAAGAACGAGAATGCCTTTATATTCAGTGACACAAGAGGGTGAAGAAGCACTACTCCTTATTTGGCATATCACATAGACATCTCACGGTCCTCAAGTCAGGTAACATCGTGGCAAATAAAGAAGCTCCACTAGTCAAAACTACCAGGGTAGCAGTTCATTCATTATCTGTTTCTCATAAAGGCTGCATGCTGCTTTCTTTCCACAGGAGTCACGACTTTGCTGCACCTCTAGCACCCTTTTGTCTCCTGGGATGGCACAACAGAGAGAGGCTTGAGGACAGACCCACTGCCCTGACACTGTTCCTGAAATTAATTTGCTCCTCATATGAATTTCTACTCATCCATTGAAGCATGGCTGATTAAAACTAATAATACAGTCAGTTCTCCATCACCAGCTGGGAGCATCTCCAGCCTGCAGAGAGCCACACCATGAATGGGGAATGAATTCAGATCCACAAGCAAGAAAGTTTTGTTCAAAAAGGAGTCAAAGCAATATGGCCCACAGAACCAAGCAACTGTTCCCATACAACACCTCCACTCCCAGGAGAGCCTGAACGTTTCCTGCTTCTAGACCTGGACTCAGAAAGAGTAAAAATCACCTCAACCCTTCTGGGCAGGCTGGCCTCCCACCACCCCAGGCTTTGGAGAAATGCCCATCAGTTGCTGAACAACCAAACATGGTACCGAGGTCTTTCCACTCTCCCTAAACTCAGCAGTTGGCAAAAGCCCTTGGAGTTAATCTATTCCTCACCTGGAAGCAAAGCAGCCCCTTCAGGCACCCAGACGGACGTACAGACAGGTTCTTCCAAGGGATCTCTGCAGGTGCAAACAGAAAGGTCAGAATCAACATTTTGCTCATTGTAAAAGCAGAAAGTAAATCAAGCTGGCTGTAACACCTCGCCAAAAAAAAAAACCTCAAAAGGGCACGTAAGGCCAGCTGCCCTCCTGTACAGAGCAGACCATAGCTTTTTTTCCCCTCTCTGAAACAACTCATGTGTCAGTCTGTCCTTGTTTTGACCCATATAAGGGTTTTTCACACATTGGCAGCACAGATTACATCTGAGCAAGAGTTGAAGTAGCTGAGGTTTATTTGGAAGAGAAGCTACTTGTTTTAAATCACTGTAGAGCTGGTGAAAGGCACTGACGTAAGGGCTGCAGGTAACAAAGTCCCTTTCAAAGCCTGACCAGACGCCCTTCTGCCTCTCATGCTTAAAAGGTCTCTTCTTCCCAAGTCTCTGCTGCCGCTCAGGCCAACGGTGAGTCATTCTCACAGCACTGGCTTTGCCATGCAAGCATCAAGAAGCACCCAAGATGGGATGCATTAAACACACAGCCATTGTGGAAAAAGAGTCAGGGTGGGACAGCCCAAACCCCACCTCCATCTCCAGCCCTGGTTTCCTTTCTGGGTGTCTCCAAAGATACCCAATTTAAAAAAAACACAGGTCTTCTAAGTTGCCACAAGCTGCTTTCGAATAGCAGTCTTTCACATTTCCAGCTTATTGATATTTGAGCCTATCTGATGTTTTCCATTTCCTTTCATCTCAGTCTTGAAGAAGAAATGAGCAAGTTCAAAAAATGCTAGTGATGGTTAATGAAAGGTCCATCTCTGCCTGTCCCAGTCTCCTAGCCCACCATGCTCCTGGTTGCACCAGGTTACCCTCAATTCCTCCTAACTGCATCCTTACCCCTATTTTCCTGAGATTAGCCAAGGATTAAGTCATTAAAAGAGAGGAAGGAGAGACATATCTAGCCAGTCACAAACATGATTTTTTTAAGGAAACCGGGCTAAACCTCATTAGACCCACCATCAGCTGTCTTTCCTCAGGAGAAGCGGGCCTGGCAGGGCAGCAGCTTTGCGCTCCCGGTCCACAATGAATTAAGAGGAGCAGAACAGCAGCAGTTGCTTCAGATCCACACCGAAGCATAAGAGGCACAGAAAAATTTGCTGAGGACCTGCCCACACAGACACTGGATATTCTTTTCATATTTGCCATGACAAAAAATTTGCGTTAACATTTTTGCAAGCACTGTAAGCCCGTATCAAGTATCAGCAAAGAGGCAGACAGGTGTCCTGACCACAGCGGAGACAGCATATGCAAACAGTTTGGAATTTATTATTATTTTTTTTTTAAGAGAGAAACAAATCCCAGAGATTTTTCTGTGCATGATACATTTTCTGCTCCCTGTTTGATGTTGCTTTCAGACTTCAGACTTCAAATAGCTAACACTAACCTATGCCTCAAGCCTGCTTTAAACTAATGGCCCTTATGTGACCAGAAATGAATGCATGGTGAATCACTTATGCCACACACAGTGGGGGTGATGAGCGGTGGCCCATGTCTCCTGATGGCTGCAGGGACACGAGTAAGTTGGGGGAAAGGAGAACCCAGCTCCCTCTGCATCAAAGCCAGATAACTCAGCAATAGTGTCTTTGCATTTTTTTTGGAGACGGAAAACACAAACTCCAGGTCAACAGCCCAACCACAAGCAGTCAGAGAGAACAACCTAACCACTGGCATTTTCTGCAAAGTAGAGAGAGAGAGAGAGAGAGAGAAAGAGAGAGAGAGGGAGAATCTGCATAGGCTGCACTTCCACTCCCTCTTGCTTGCCTCTGGGAGACGCTTAAGAGAAGCTGCATTTTAATTAGAAGCCCCAACCAAGGGAATCTGATCTTGACAATAACGGAAAGAGAGCAACCCAAAGTTACAGACTTCAGGGTATGTGGGTCCCAGCCCTTCACTTCTTCGCTGACATTACTGCTTTTAGGAATTAAATCAAAACCCCACTTAACTTCACAGAGGTTGCAATTTGCATCTAAAGCGCTGCCTAAGCCTCAGTTGTAATAAACAGATATAGCTCCACTGAAATCCAAGGAGTTATTCTGATTTTGTCTGGTTACAGATCTACAGACCCATAAACATTACAGTTCATGCAACCTCCAGCTAAGTATCTTCTAATGGAAGACCATTTTCTTTGTCAGATGGATTGGGATAACTTCTTTAAAACACTCTTGAAGACTCACTAGAATCACTGGGTTTTTTTATTCATATATTTTAAGAATAAACCCCAGCAGCTACTTAACACTGGAAGAACACAGGATAACAGTCTACAAACAAAGCTTGAGTGGAGATATAACTAGAGTTTGTGATTTTCTTTGGGAAATTGGTAAAATGGAGAGAGGAAAGAAAACAGAAAAATGAAACTGAGCTGTGAACACATACTGAGAAATCACATATTATTTGACAGATAATGAATGAAAAAGAAGCACAGGGAATAAGGAAGCAAAATCATGTAATTCTGTCCTCCTTTTGAGCCTTATTAAATTATATTTTGGGTATAATGCCCAGACAATATGTCATGCACCCAAGGAAAAAGCTGCATTTCACTGGCTGTCACTTGCTGATCTCAGGATGGTCTCCTCTCCCTCAGCCTTCCTCACCTCCTTGTAATAAACCACCCAGAGATAGGCTTGTACTGATCGTGCTCCCAGGAGCAGAGCAGTGCTACTGACAAGTTTTACAGACCTCTGCCCAGGGGTGGATGCTGCCAAACATCACTACATCCATGCCATGGAGCTACCGTTGCCTTCTATAAACCATCTCACCGAATGAACTGGCTCCCTTGGGCAAAAGGTCACTCTATCAGCTGTAACCAAGCTCCCGTTCAGACTGTTGCATTGCCACAGCATTGCTGATAAAGGAGAATCCTGGTTTGTTTAGTTTTTTTCATTTTTTTTGGCCAAATTATAGTGCCAAGCATGAATTATAAGCCAAGCCTAAAGCAGGGAGAGGTGGAAGAGTCTGGCCTAACATTTAGCAGAAAATCCACAAGCATCCCAGGCCCTGCCATGGGATTCAGGTGCTGATTACAAAGGTCCACCAGCACAAAGAAGTCCCTTTGAGCAGCTCCTCAATCTGCGAGCCTTCTGAAGGGGCACCTCTGACCAGCATCACTGCCTGGGTCAGCCAGCCAAAGGGGTGGTGGGGAACATTTGAGTTATTTTCTCATCTGATTTTCATTTCATTAATTCATCACTCAAGCCAGGGAAATACTCTGATACACCTGTTTGGGTGCTTCTCTCTTCATACACAGATTTGTAAAGCACCACAAGTTAGGCAAGGCGGTAGCACCACCAGGTCCTGTGCTAATGATGTAGCAAGGGCACTGTGGTGCCAGCCTGTATCTCACAGGCACTGGGCTGTAGGATGGCAGCAGATGAGAGCCACATGTCTGAGCTGCTCTTCCGGGCTGGCAGGTCACCACACTTCAGGTATGGCTGTCACACTCACACAGGTGCCTGCACCAACAACAGCTTTGTACTGGCTCAAAAAGGGAAAGGGTAGAGAGGAACACAGCCACTCAACACCCACCCCCCACCCTCAGTGTGTGCACAGGGGTGGTGGGAGACAGGCATATTTAGAGCCCCCCAGAGTGCACTCCATCGTAATTCCCTCCTGCTCCTCCAGCCCTGAATGCAGCCTTAAAAATCCATAGCTCCAGATAGCTCGCCCAGATGCTGCTACTCCAGTTCAGTGGGGAGAGGATGAGCTCAATTTCGCAATCAAATAGGAAGTATTAGTTTTTGGTAGAATCAAAAAGACACGCCCCATTCAAATCAAAAATAAAACAGAAGAAGTGAGACAGAGGAACAGTCTCCTCCACTGCTTCAGTGTCTGAGAGTTGCTCCCAATTGCAACTAAAGCTCAGGTAGCTCAGGTGCAGCAGGAAAGCCATCCCAGTTTGCCAGCATCACGCTCCATGGCACTGTCCTCCTGTACCAAAGTGCTACTGAACTGTGAGAGCAGCTCCTCTGGGAGAGGATGCTTGGACATGCCGCTCATGGCTCCCCAGCATCGTCTGCGGAACTGGCTCTCCAGGGACAGCAGAACCGGGACAGCAATCACACGCGTTCCTTTTGCGCTGCAAATCAAGTCAAACCACAAGCATAAGGAGCACCCAGGTGCATAGCACATCTAGTATCCAAGCACGAAGCAGTTGCCAGCCCCATACCCAAGCCCTGCCACGTGCAGTGGGCAGGTTTGCTCCCTGCCTGATGACTTTCTTTTCACCAGCCGATGTAGAAGCTTCCCAGAGAGACCCAAGAGAAAGTCAGGCACAGCTCAAATAAGCACCTGGACCTACAAACAACAGATTAAATTCTCAAGCTACAAAACTATGTTTTAGCAAAAGTGCAATTGAACTCCATGTACTTGTTACATTTCTAAATATACTCTGGTTGTCAAGACAACAAAGAGACTGATGGATCTCTAAAGTGTACTGTATCTATTTAATTGTCAGCATTTCAAACTGACTCAAGAAGGGAAAAAAATGCTGCGTGATAAGTCTAATTGTCATGGTTACCACCGGCTAACCCCACAATAAAAATATATATATTCTGGCTAAATGTGCCAAGCCATGTGAGGAGCAGATGGGAGACATTCTCATTACTGCAACAGCCTCCACTGGAAAACTAAACTTGAGGAAAGATGCGAGAGACTTTACAGAGATCTCAGACACAACAGACACCGTGGGCTGCATCTTCCCAGTCGTTTGGCAGCAGTTGCTCAGGCTTTTCTGCTGTGCTTATTCACCCCGTGAGTGTTGGGACAACCCATGGGGCTGGGGCTGCATAGCTTGAGAGCATTCTGTTTTGAGGATTTCATCCCTCCCTGAAGAGAGCCTGAGATGCGAGATGTTACTCTTTAAAAGCCTCTGACAACACCTGATGTGCAACCGCCTGGTTTTGCACTCCCACCCTCACCTGCTTGCCCTCCTCCCTCCAGGGGGCTATATCCAAGCCCACAGGCATGGCTCTG